CCCCATCTCTCTTCTCTTTCATTCTTTCTTCTCTCAACTCATTCTTCTGTTCTCCATTAGTCTTTTCCAAGTGTTCCTCATGTCTTCGTTACTGCACATCACAATGTGTTGGACAACAAGCATGATGCAGCTACAGTTTGGGTGGAAGGAATCACCACAAACGATTTCATTGTTTGTATGAGAGAAGCAAGAACCTTTGATGGACGCCATAAGGACATCGATGTGGTACGGTATTGTGGACATATGTCATTCCACATTAGCAACATAATTTAAAATTGTACTTTTTGAATCATTTAGCTATTTGGCTATTTAGCAATATCAATTTGATGTTATTATAAATTTTTAATTTGTATTATCTATTGCAGACTTGGATGGCAATGACTGAAGTTCCCCAGACATGGAATTATCATGACTTTATCAGRGTAGACTTTCCAAACACACTTGTACCAAGTGAAGCTGACAATGATGCCTTTTGCCAGGTAATCCAAATTATCTCAGGGTCATGATAAGGAATTGTTTCTGGTCCATATCGACCCTTAAATGCTAACGAGAATATTGCAGATACATGTTCAAATAAAGATCCCTTTATTTAAACCACCCTCTCATTTTCGTAAGTAATGCAACATAGTAATGCTTATTTTCAAGTTAAGGAAATTGTAAACAGGCCATATCGACCCTTAAAACCTAACAGGACTATGTGACATTCTTTTAAACCGACCTCTTTTTTTTCAGTAAAGCGACATAGTAATTTTCAATTTCAGATTGTGAGTTTCCACGAGCCGTACTATGCTNTCTTCCTGTGCCTCTTGGAATGCAGCTCAGTCCAACTGTCTTGATGTCAACTCCAATCTGACCAGTGTCACCAGCCAAGAAGAAAACACGTACATTCAACATCGTCACGGCGGTGATACAGGATGGATAGGACTACAAGACATTGACAGTGAAGGAAACTTTACCTGGATTGACGGTACAAATGTCAACTTTACGTACTGGGCGGCTAACCAGCCAAATGGTTACCCTGGAGATCAGGATTGCGTTCATACCCTGGGATTACGTCATGACTATCATTGGAATGACGTCACATGTGGGTCTTGCCACGCGTACACGTGCAAACGAGGTACACTTTAAATTCTTTTTCAGAATGTGGCACTACGGTAATTTCATTTGTAAGTCCTCGGCATAGTTTCACGGTAACACCATACATTMACACAGAACTGATCAAAAATCTTTCAGTGTTACCTCTAATGTCTAATGTTTTCTGTTTCAGATATTGATGAATGTTCTGCTGATTACCACATGTGTGATGTAAATGCACAATGTATCAACACTGAAGGTTCGTACACTTGTACTTGTAAATCTGGCTACACTGGCGATGGAAGGAGATGTTCAGGTATTTTATCATCTGTTCATAACAATTGAACTATCCATGTAAACGATACAAGAGTGTATTTTGAGTAAAATTGACTTCAAGAAAAGTCTTCGGCGAAAGAGACAGAATGCAATAAATATAGATTTCTTCATGAAAGTGCTGACGTACGGGATTTTCGCACGAGTTGGTGATGAATTCAAAACCAACGAGTGCGAAAATCCCGTAGAAAAGCACTTTCCATGATGAAGTTTGTTCATTATATACATACTGAGATTTTATAGCGTCTACTTGAGCGACTTTTGTGCATTTTAATGACGGTTTTGTCTTACAAACTCGTTTTAAGTTATTTGCGATCAAACTACGATACAATTTAAATGCTGAATTAGATAATTATGAATAAATCACATCAATAACTTAGTTTACAGTCAATTTTCATTCACTGACTATGATAAAAATAACGAAAAGCTATATTAGAGGACAGTGCAACAAGCCTACAAACCTTAATCAATGAAACTGTTTACTTTCTATCACCGTCGTCGCAAATCAACTTTTATGGACGCGTTTTATCCATATAATAGTGTTCTGTTTTCTATACTTCTGTTGAAGATGAAGTACATCTAGAACTTATATCTAATGTCTATTGTTTTCTGTTTCAGATATTGATGAATGTTCTGCTGATTACCACATGTGTGATGTAAATGCAAAATGTATCAATACTGATGGTTCGTACACTTGTACTTGTAAATCTGGCTACCCTGGCGATGGAAGGACATGCTCAGGTAATTTATCATCTTTTATAACAATTGAAACTATATAGATAGTACAAAGTGTTTTTAGGAATCTGGAGGAGGGAAAATGGAAATCAAAGAGTTAGAGAAAAGTCCTCAGAGAAAGAGAGAGAGAGAGAAAAAAGTTTAATGTTCACACCAATTAGAGTGTGCCCACACTTCAGGATCTCAAGGATATCAATTAATGTCATGTTTCTTTTTTTACCTTCTTTGAAAATTGAGAAAATTTACACATCATCATAAATCTTATTTCATCCATAGATCATAAAGGCTTAGAGAATTCTATTATTCTACGTGACTATGGCAACAACAATTATCTGCAGCAGCTGTCCAGTTATCTGAGTCCTGTTCTTCAAGATTCAAGTAGAAGTCTTTGGATAAGATGTTGGAGTGCTGCTAGCGATGGATGGGATGTGGATTCAACATTCCACCCACAGTGTGACAATAAAGGACCAACAGTTACCATTGTTCGCGTTGGTAGTTACATCTTTGGTGGCTATTCTGATATTTCATGGGACAGTAAGTAATTTCAAAAACATATATATTACTGCGGTTTTATATAAACACTCAGCTATGTACCAGTAGTCAAAAACGTTAACGAAATACTGCTGTGCATCATGGGATAGCAAGTGATTTCTATTCTGTGGCAATATCTTTCCAATGCCGTGAACGTTATCAAAACTATTTACAAATTTTAGCTAATTGAATTATGAATCTCACATGAATCTTTTTAATGAAAATAATTCCCCACCTGCCGGGTTAGAGCGAGGTTTATTACTTTTATCTCTGATGAAACTCATTCAAGGATTTCGGGATGTCATACACAGTATGTGACGTCATATATCACGTGACTTTAGAAAATCTGATGCAATTCCTCCTTATGTGTCTCAAAAGAAAAGTGTATATATTATTAATCACTTGACGTCCGTCGGGAAATGCGATGCAATCTGATTAAGCACAATGAAAGTCAAACATACGGAAACGAACTTTTTACGGGTCCCTGGAAATAGCGTTACAAGTTACGAAGTTACAAAGTTACGAAGTTACAAGGTTAAATTCTGTTACATTTCTGTCAAAGAATATGTCAACAAGCCCTACTGCTATTACTAACTTATGCGTTAGACTATCTTAGAAAATCAAAAAACTATGGCTATAAACTATTGTAGCTAACTATAAGGGAGAGAACCTGGTCCTTTGCTTTGAAAAAAAGTTATAATTATGACTAATAAGCTGGGGAGGGGCCAGTATGGTTTGAAATGTCCAACCCTGATCGTATCAACTTATCAAGCCTCGACCTTCCTTCATGTATACAACACAGGGTTGCCAAAGGGTTAGGCTTAGGGTAAGGGATAGGGTTCGGTTATATTGAGGTATATAGATCGTATAATGAGTGTTGTATACATTGAATGAGAAAGAGCCCGACCTTCGGCGATATCGTCGAAATACAGCGGGTTTTCGTTGTGATAGCGTTGAAGTTTCGAAACGAAATTGCATGTGTGGATGGAGAGTTTCTCTGGCAAAGATAATCCGAGAAAATATTGGCGTCATTCACATTTTCGGAGGAGCTAGAAATTAATTTCTGGCGGTCACTGTGGGGTTGACCTAGCTACCTTCCCTTCTTTTTAGAGCGAATGATAACAATAGCAATAAATGGCTCAAAATAGCTCAAAATGGCCTGAAACTCAACCGGAATACAAAGAAAACCCCAATAAACAGGTAGAGATGTTTATTCTTTATTAAACTAGAATATTTCGCAAAATTACTAAAAACGGTTAAAATGTATAGCTTGGGCTACCTGTAACTCAAAATATACACAAGAATTCAGTAAGTAAATTTCTAAGATACTCAAAGCTATAACAAATACAATCGTAATCACTGTTCAAAAACTGCCGCCCATCATGGTTAAAAGCCCATCCTGGTGCCCTTGCACCGTGCAACTTCTTATCACAGACATCACATGTACATTCAGTACAGGGGTCACTGACCAAAGGCTTATGACGATGAAAGGACCTGGTTCTCTCCCTTTATAGTTAGTTAGTTTATAGTTATAGTTTTTAAGTTTTTTTGGACTAAGGTAGTCAATTCAGGCATGTCTAACGCATAAAATTAAAGTATATAATAATAATATGGTAATAGTAGAAGGGCTTGTTGACATGTTGTTGACATATTCTTGACAGAAATGTAACAGAATTTAACCTTGTAACTTCGTAACTTTGTAACTTCGTAACTTTGTAACTTCGTAACTTTGTAACTTCGTAACTTGTAACGCTATTTCCAGGGACCCTTTCTTGATTTCTGTTTTTTGTTTTTGTTTTTGTTTTTTTGTTTTTGCTTTAGTCTTTGTGTATTTGTTGGCTAGCTGTTTGGTTGTTTTTTTTTTTCGAATTTGATCGCAATCAACAATATTTTGTTCATAGATCGCGTACATTACCATTTTCGACTTGGTAAAACAAAAACCAAACAAATTTATTTACCACTATGGGATCATCATCAAAATTGTTATTTATCCAATCTATTCTGCAATATTTCATTTTTCCGACGTATTTTTCCCAGAGTTGAAAGGTCATTATGACAGGACGTCATGGTGGTAGCCTTTAATCTAATGCATGCCCGTGAGAGGCTCCCTTCGTGACGTATCTACTATAAGGGAAAGTAATTTATTGATTTGCTTACAGATAGCGGCTGGACGTACACCAACAAAGCTTTTCTGTTCACACTGTACAATACATATGGCTACTACCCTATCAAGTTACGTCTTGTACAAGATCAGCACATGGCTTTAGATAGATGCAGTGGTTATGGCCCTACATTTGGTCGTGGTCATGATATGCACATATCTAACCATGCATCAAGTAACGGTAATAGTAATTTTCATCCAAAATCATATAACACACCGCCTGGCTGCAGCTACGGTAATCAATGCTCATTCTACACAGGCAGCGGTTGGTTTACACCGAGTGACATCGAGGTTTTCTATGAAACAGTCAACTAGAAATGAAAGCTTTTAAACTTTAAAACACCAAAAACTTCGTGTATTAGATTTATACCCCTAAACTTGCATTGGAGTATTAAACTTTTGGCAAGGACAAAATGCTGACGTATTCTGGTCGCTTATCTGCTGTAGAGGAACATATATAAACGATACTATATCACTAATAGGTAGATTACAGTATAGTAGATCTAATGATATTGAGGAATTCTCAAACTTGTAACTTTGTATCACACACTGACTTCAATAAAAAAAATCTTATAAGTACTATAATAAGATTTATTTCTCTTGTTTGTCAATTACTATCGATTTATGTGAAACACATATCAAACAATTGCCCCCACAAAGTTATCCTTCGTTTAGCAGCCATATATGGTAATCTTACCTTATTTGGAAGTTCGATAGGAATGGTTTTTGTCGATTTTCTCGACTTTTAAAGCTTGAAATCGTCGGAAACTTGCAGATATTATAGCGAAAACACTTCTAAACAATCCGCCATTTTGTTTGTTTCCATATATGGCATGGATTCGCTAAAGGAAGCCCAAAACTAAAAAGCACAGGGAACCCGCACGAATGATATACAATTCTTTGATATGCAATATCACAATATTAAACATTGTTTGTTTAAAAAAATAAGAGCGTTGTCTA